ATGAGCTTATGAAATATGCATTAAACAAATGTTTGAATTTAACCTAACAAATTTAATCTGTCACGTATAGTTTTAAATACTACAAAAACTCATAAAATATAACTAATATAGTCGGTAGGTATAGGATAAATTATCATTGAGTTGAAAGTTATTCAAATATTATTCGTATTTTCATAATTTCAAATTTCAAATTTCTATAATCTATATTATATTATACGTGTATTTTTTTGGAGACTGATTAATAATACTATTATATAACTAGGTAACTGCATTAAGTTTTCCCATGAATCGTTTAATTGAAGGCCTAGTGATATAAGAAATCCACAAAATATAATTTGCCATGATCTATATAGGTTCAAAAAAATCCGGACAAGATACATAAGTCCGGATGTAAGCATTCGTTTTAGTTCATTCACAGTGGAATCTGCAAATCATATCCCGGCATACTGTTTAGAGGTTTGTTGTAACAAATATTACCGATATTTTTTATTAGAATAGTTTTTAACTAGACATTTACCAACTCTTTCAAAATTAATATAACAATTTTAAATGTACGTGCATTACTTGAAGAGATGCATTCCGAAAAATTATATGTTATGAACATCGAAAAAAAAACACCTTTAGGTCTATTTTATAGTTTATTTCAATATTTGTTAAAGTTTTTCTATCTATAACAGATCACTGTTTCATCGGATAAATTCAACAGGGTTTAGAATAGTCAAACTGCAGGTTTAAAAAGTTAACGCTACTCTGCACATAGGTATTAATAATGTAACTATTTCGTAGTTGTTAGTAAGTGCCTACTTATGTAAGTATGTGCGTTTTCTGATATGCATATTACATATTTACATTTTACATCGTTCCCGTTTATATACTTTTCAGACGGCATAATATAAGTAGTTACGTCCAATATACTCGTAAATGTCGTACGTGCAACCGGTTGTGTATATTGCACACCATGGACCCGTTTGAGCCCCGGGAACGAATAGGAAGGGGGGTTCGGGATCAATGCATATTATAGAAATAAATAATTATATTCAATCATATTATAATATATATGTAACTATGTAAGTATACTTGGATAATGTTTAATAGAATAAACGTTTAGAAGGACTTGATGTTTATAGAAATATAGATTCCACTCGATGGTGAATACTAAGTTGATCATATCAACCGAATTAGACATCGATCTTAAATAATATAATTACAAACGTATGTCACGAGGGTTTCATTAAAAACCTTCGGAGAATAATATACATATCGCACTTATATAAACGCATAGTACCTACATAATATTATATTATATAAACTCTATACCTACATAAGAACGTAGAGCTGCCTTAAAACTGTAAGGCGAGTGTCGATCTGAAGTAGGTGAATAAAAAAGAATTAGTGATGCGCATTATAATTTATAAATATCATGCGATTGGCAATAGGAATGGGTACCTAAATAGTAAGCACCATAAATCTGTATATTTTGTGTAAGTCTCGTGCCATGATTTTCAACCACGCTAATCTTCGAAATCACTTAACCGATTTTAATTTTGAATGAAATTGTGATCATAATAAAATGAGTAGTTGTTCTTGCTGATTATAATAAATTGTAGAAATGGGAGGAATTATTAGTATTTGTTGCCATTGGTCACTCGACCAAATGAGGTAAAATCATGCATCAAATCGTTGCGCTAACAGTTTCGAATAAAGAAATTCATCATAATATCTTAAAATAAATACGAGAGCTGAATGTTTATTTGTGGCCTATATATGTATACTCAAAAACTACTCGACCGATTTCGTGAAAATTTCATATATATAGGTACATTTTTCTTACAAATATATATATTTATCTAAAATACAAATCTTTGTACCGAGGGCAACGTCGGGCGGGATAGCCAGTGCATTATGATATTATAATATACGTAATCTAATTTATTCCTTTAACAGCGTATACACATATAAGAACTACAGCGACCTACCGAGGGTCGGATACGAGCGAGCGCTTGAGTCTGTGTGTGTGTGAAATTTTCGCAAACTCTTCTCGCGCTCGGGCTCCTCTGCCGACCGGCCGGGTCGATTAAGATAAAGGGACGGAGTGCGCGCGGTCTCCGCTCTCGGTGGACGCAGCTAACGCGCGCGGATCAATACGTGCGGCGCTCGGTCTGCGTGTGCGAGTGTGCGGCGACGACGACGACGACGACGACGACGGCGGCGGCGGCGGCGGCGG